TTCTACTTGGCATGCACTACCTTAATATTGTTGTTTCGTTGGAAATTTGCTACATCTTACTGATACTTACCACGCATCATTTCATGGCCTAGTGAGTCACTGTTGTAATGAAACTCGTAAGGCAGCTGGAATAGAAAAACTCACTTGTTCACGAAATTCAGGTTTCTATGGGAATTGAGAAATTCACAGCATCCGGACTGATAATTGAAGATTATGGATATCTTAACGTCTATAAATACGAGAAATGGAGCGATAAAGTATTGCCCGCATATCAAGAAAATGAAGTTCTTACCGATTGCCAAGTAGGAATGGCCGAAGGTCAGACTCGGCCACCACCACTCCTTAATGAAGGTACTTGTTGCGTGATCTTCTTTCATGCCATCTAGAGACATTTTTTTTAATCAAATACGGTTATTTTATTGTTATGTGTTCTTGGAAAAATTATCGGATTAATTCAGTAGCTGCCTATTAAGGCACAAGAGTGCCATCCTTCTCCTCACTTGAGAGAAATCAGAATTCTCTGAATACGATAAAAATGTAAAGAATTGAATTGAATTTGGTTAGACTTAGGCAAAATTTGTTCGATGAGGATGAGATTTGAAGAGACAGAGTTGAAATTGAGCAGAGACACGCAAATTTTTACCGAAAAGTGAACAAAAAAATGAACGTCGAGGCCGCTACCAGGCTGGTCAGCTGAAAAAATTGGCCAGCTGCACCGGTCATAACTAACGGCTTTTCCAATTATTCGAGGTATCTCAAGCATTCCCTTTTGTACTGAATACTATTTATTCTATCCCTACATTATAGCCGATTTGATTGCTCTAATGGATAAGCATGGTATTGGCACTGATGCTACGCATGCCGATCATATTGAAACAATCAAAACACGTCACTATGCAACACTGAACGGTGAGGGACGATTCATTCCGGGCTATATTGGATTAGCACTGGTTGATGGTTACGATCAAATGGGTTTTGCAATGAGCAAACCACATATGCGTGCCAACCTTGAATCACAGCTTAAAAAGATTTGCCGCGGAGAAAGGTACATATTATTTCTTTTCCTCTTTATTTCTGCAGCAATTTTTATTTTTCTAAATTTACGACTTTTTTTGATATTTGTCGTGTTAGTGTATACTTTTTTTACCACAGGTTCTCCTTAGTTTAACCTGTGAAAGGGATGGGTATTCGGATATTTCGGGAGTTGTGGTACATTACCAGCATAGTTGCTGATGGCTCTTTCCTTCGAAATTTGCTTAGAAATAAGCAGCTGAGGTGTTTTTTAACTCGCTCACTTCCAACATCACCTGTAAAAGTGGCTG